ATGCCCTTTGGCCTAAAAGCATGTTGGTTTAATTCAAAAATTCAAATGTGTTTTCAAGATATTTTGTATTTGGCATTTGATATGTTTGTGCGTTTGCGATATTCGAGTAAATCTAGAGTTGATTGTTTACGTTGTCCTGAGACTTTTCTGTGGAGATGCTCTGAGGTCCATGCTTGAGAACCTCGGCTGTGCCCTTGGAAGCTTCGAAGATTTCCTGTAGAGAATCTGCAACTTTTTGTCAAACCCCTGGCTTACCGCTCAGTCGCTGCTGTTAGATTCTTGCAGGAGTTCAGTATGTTCAGTACGCACGGCAGGTAGCGTTTTGGAATCTGAGGCAGCAGGATTTCCACAACTACCGCTTTTTCCTGAATCAGCAACTCACCATTGGCAGTTCAAATCCTTGTTTTGTTTAGCTTTTGGTACGAGCTTGATCCTTTGATCCTGCGCGACAATCCACGTTTGTAGCTGAGGCAGACAATCCGTATGGATAGTTTGCCCGCGAAGCCCTGGAACAACTTGGTGCCAGGCACACCTCAAGACATCTCAAGACAGAAGAGTTTGACAACACAGTTTGATGTGTTTGGAGCTGCTGAAAGTCCATCCTTTAAAAAGCGATTGCAACTGGGAGGATTTCAGGCGTACCCACAAAGTCCAACAGCCGGGTTGGCCAAATGTTCATTGGCAAGAGATTATGGTATTATGGTAATTGCCCACTCAACAACACTCAACAACTATAGGGTCCAAGGGTACCTCGGCATAGATGATTATGCACAGTTGCCGTCCGGCGAACCCAAAAATTTGAATCCTTATCAACTCTATATCCAAAAGGCCGAGCTCGCAAAGCGGAAAAAACAAATAGCCAAGAGGCAAGGCAGAAACCGTGAGCCTCATATTCAATTCCTACGGAACCCTACCTAGGTCGTGCATCCTATGATTCATATGTATGCAGGGCCTTTAGGGCCTATGTGAGAAAAAGGCTTTTGTAGGCAAAGACCAACCATTTCATCCATTTTATCCATTGCACGCGATGGAGATGGATGAAATGGTTGGTCCCTCTTGCTGAGACTGAGCATAGGAAAATGTAATAAGAGGACTCCTATCTAGAATTCCAGAAAATCTACTAGGAACGAGATGACGCTTATTGAAAATGTATAGCCATTATTCCGTTCCGGCGGTCTCGGTATAGTACCCCTTAGCAGAAATGATTGCCTGGGCTGTTCGAATAGGCGGTCTTAAAAGAAATCGATAGTTTTTGGCGTGCTCAAAACCTGAGAATTGGAATGGAGTTGGCTTCTGGCGAAAAAAAGCTTTAAGTAATTAGGTTTCAGATCCATAGGCCTATGGCTTGGGAGATTTTTTTTTGCAATTTAAATCTTAGCCTTCTTTTGCAGATACTTAATTAGGGGTTCGGTTGCTTAGACTGGCTGGCTTCTCTGGCTTTCGGAATTATTCCGTTCCTGCATTGTTATAAATCCATTCAGGTCGGATTTAGCTCTAAAACGTACCCATTTTGATTAGTCCGTTTAGGCCGGATTTAGCTCTATTACGACCCCCTTTACTAATCCGCACTTGACATTAGGTCTTCTCCTTGGAAGGCAATGCTCATGTCCCTCAAAACATTGTTTTGGAGGCTATCCAAAATTGAACACTTTCGGAGATGGGATTGGAGCCCTGATAAACTTCGAAAGATCCAAAATCAACAAATCTCAGAGACATTGCCGAGGTAGGTTTGGATTTTGTCGTTTTAGATTTTTGTCTTTTTTGTTGTTTTCGATTTTGGGTTTGCTTTATTCATTCATTTTAATTTTCGGTGGTTTTCATTGTTGGTTGTTTGGATGTTTGAGTTTTTGGGTTTTGGTGAGTTTGTGTTTTTGGATTTGCGGATTTGTACTGAGACCAGAAAATTGTTGAACAAAAAAACACAAAAAGGCAAAAAGTCCAACAACCCAAAAATCCCAAATTCCAAACCTACCTCGGCAATCTCCCTGAGATTTTGTTTTTGATTTTGGGATGTTAGTGAATTTGTGTTAGGAGCTGAAGTTTCCTGACGCTGCACCTGACCCACTGCGTATCATTGACGTCTATCTGTTCCACAGTTTCTTCAGAGTACTTACCATCTGTAAGTATTAACAGTACTTACTTATAGCAACTAGCATTAATACTTTCTACTAGTACGTACTAGTAATTAATGTTTGCCAATAGTCAGCAGTATGAGTAAATACTAGTTGCTCATATTACTTCACAGTACTAGTCAGTAGTATGAGTAGGTACCATTAACAGCTCATGTTAGTAAGTACTCATAGTAAGTACTATTAGCAAGGACCAATGATAAGTACTATTCGTAAGCACCATTAGTACTGCTCTTAGCTTGTACTGTTAGTTGGTGCAACTAGGTAGTAGTAGTTGGTCTTATTAGCTGGCACTGTTAGTGAGTAATATTATTTAGCACTTGTAGCTACTTACCTGTGAGTAGTATTAGTAAGTGCTATTAGGATAAAACAGCATCCTTGGTAGCTTCTATTCATGGGCACCACTTGCAAGTAGTATTGGTAAGTATTGCTAATACATATTACCAGTAAGGTCCATCAGTTTTTTCCACACACACGCACACAAGACACTTTTACCGATTTGCTTCACTGCTTCCATCTGCTCTCACACGCAACACAGAAATAGCTTCAGACACCATCTCGACACACCAAAGGTGGGTACATGGGGGGTAGCATATATACATATACATATATACATATAGATATATTCATTCATTTTCTTATCCAAAGCTTATTCATTTGTCTATATTTCCATACTGAGCACACAAGAAGATTGTACCATGGTCCTCAACTCAAGGACTTCTTCTGCATCCCCAATGGTGCATTGCCATGCGCAGCACGGTTAAAGTGTGATTTTTTTCGCGAGAATCATGAGTATGGTCTGGTTATTTCGAATCACGCCATGTGTGTGTATTTGTATGTATATATATATACATACATACATACATACATACACATAAACGTATAAAACATGAGCAAGGGTGTGACTCTGATTGAAATTAAGCATCAGCACGATGCGCTTCCAAGCCACGACCCACCAGAACCAGGCGCAGGCATCGCCAGCACTATTCTAAAGCATTTCACCATCCCGGAGTTCCAAATGTAACGAAAACTCAGCACAGTGAGCATCCGCATGACAACCACAGCCCCCCAACCAAGCACAGGCATCGGCCATTTCACCGACTTTTAAATCTAAATGCCGAAGATCCAGCACGATGAATATTCGCCCCATCACAACCACCCTCCTGAATCAGGTGCAGGCACCCGCATCACCGGCACCAGTGTCCAGCCATTTCAATGTCTAGAAAATCCAGATGTTTGAGAACCACCACTATGAGCACCCGGCCCATCACAACCACCCGCCCCAACCGAGCACAACTACCAGCATCACCAGCACTTTTCAGCCATTTCACCATCTACGAGATGTAAATGCCTCAGAACCACAACGATAAGCATCCGCCAGATGTCAACCACCCAGGCAAATCCGTCAATGGCATCAGTCTTCAGCCATCTCAACGTCTAGAACCTCTAGATGCCCGAAGCACAACATCTGCCTTGTCAGGACCACCCCCCAGAACCGGGCACAGGCACCTGCATCACCAACATCACTGTTCAGCCAAGCCGTCGTCTAGCAGAGCGTCATGAGCATCTCCAATCGAGCACAAGCACGGACATCACCCGGCATCCCAGTTCAGCCTTTTCACCATCTAGGAAAATTAAATGCAAAGGACCCCGTCGTTTCCTGACGTTTTACCTATCCATCCTTTCGGGAACCTGGCAAAAGCCAACAGACTCTACAACTTCACGAAGCAGATCGCAAACCACTTGGGGGAAAGAAATTTGCTTCTTACGAGTCGAAAAGCTCAAGAATAACCTCATGTGGCTCACATCTTTTTCTTGGAGCTTTGAAGAAGCAAGATTTCCATGCTGGTATGCGCGGCGGACAAAGGCAAAAGACCGCGCTGGTGGGATTCCAAAGGCTTCCTATGAGGCTTCCCTGCAAACTCAAGGTGGAGGTTCGCCTAGTAGCCGTATTTGCCAGGCAGGCAAAGACGTCAAGTTGCTGTTTATTCGGCACAGACGGGGCTGTTGCCCGAAACTCGTTTGTTCCCTTTGGTGCCGGGGTTCAGCATTCCGGCGGGCATGCTTGTCAAAACGGAACTTGTCTGTGAGAATTCCAACGGGTCTTGGAGGGAAGTGGCAGAATTTGACTCATCTGGTAGTGTCGGACCCAGGGACCAAAGCTTCATGATTGCATTGTGGTGGCCATGTTTGGCCATGCCTTATGGCTGCATCAGCATCCTTCACCTTGTCCTCACTGTTCAAAATGAATAGTGACAAGGCTCCAAGCGCTTGCATGACACGGTCAGGGTCTCTTGCCAGGTTCGGGGATACAGCAGAAAGAAACGCATGGAGACGCCAGGTGCTGTCAGGGCTTTGCAATGCTGTGTCGACCGAGGGGCCAACTGATCATGGGAGGCTTTGCAACTGGCCTCCAGACCATGATTTTTGTTTTACTGACCAAGACAAAGTCATGCAGGCACTTATAACTAAGCAACTTCCTTCAATGTGAGGAGCCGGAAGGGATGATGCCTTGGTACGAAGGGGACTACCAACCGCTGGCAACCCGCAGACCCTCTAAAGCTCAAGAAGCTGGTTCGGACATCTCCCGCTGAAGTTTATTAAAAGCATTCTTGGTATTCTTGTTTGCCGTTATTTTGGGTGAGAGTGTAGGTGAGCCGAAAACGGCCGGTTGCTTCGGCATGTTGGGGTCCGAGGTCAGCCTTAGGCACGTGTCGACCTATGCACACAGGAAGAAGCAGGAAACAGAAGAGGTTTGGTTTAAGATAGCCGACACAAACACTTGCAATCTACGCCACATTTGTCGCCGCAGGTTTCTCCACGACGATTGATCCTTCCATAGATCCCAGCGGCTTTGCCTTGGCAGAGTTTATGCACCAGAACGGATTCACCAACATCACAGGGCTCTTCGGCTTTTCTTTGGCAATGCTGCGCCAGAAGTGCTTGCACAGAGCTAACATCTACCAACAAGATGTGCACAGGAGCAACATTCGAATTCGCCTAGGCCATATGAATTGTGTATTAATGCTTTCTCCCCAAATCTAATTTCCGTTCAGCTGGGATTTTGGAGTTTAAGAGCTAGGTTTGAGCTGCGCGGGGTTCGGGGGCTGTCGCGGGATTCAGGTGTATAGGGTTCGGCCTGCTATAATCTTGCATCCGAGGTTGTGGTTTCGGACATGAATATGTCTGTGTTATTTTTTTCTGCTCGCTGGGTCTGATGCGAGGTACGATGAGGGTGGCTGGTCTCCGATATGTTTTGCCGCAATGAATCCGGATCGCATGTGGACACTGCTTGGCGCATGCTGATGCTTCCAGCCTCATGGTAGGGGACATGATCTTACTTAGAAGCTCCATGCCTTTATCGAGTTTCCTTTCGAGCGTATTAGCAGCGTGCTATGGTTTTACCCGAGACTAGGAAGATGGAAATTATCAGATTCGCATGCCCATGACACCAGGAGCTAGAGAGCGCCCGAGACTCTCTCTATATTATTATTATATATATAATATAATGCACTACATATTTACACACACGCGATATATATATATATGTATCGATATCTACCACATATATAATATATATATATACATGTGCATACTGTCTGTTCTTGTTTTCTCAGGAAAGGAGACCCGGTCGTGATCTCCGCATTGATCGTGACCACGACGGCAGTAGCAACATTTTTTTGGTTGGAGGTATCGTTCCGAGACATTTCAAAGAGGTTTCCGAACCAGTTTCGCTGTTTTTGTCATGCTGCTGGAGGTTTGGGCAGCAACTGTAGCAGTTAAACTTCAAGTCAACCCCCCAGCACATTTTCTTTCATGTTATACGTGCAGAGCTTTCAAATATTCATTTGTATCAAAAAAGGTCTTCTAAGTCAAAACGTTCAACAGTGAACCCCAAGCCCATCCACTTGCACTTTCGTTGGAGCCAATGTGCGCAACAACGACACGTGCTAAGGACAAGGGCGCGTCCCCAAATGACCAAACACAGCAAAGCAAGATCCCTGGCGGCAAATGAAATCATCTCACGGGCACAGTTGTGACTAGGGCTAGGGACGAGTTTTCGCAAAACACAGAAGAGCTCAGTAGAGGTTCATGTCAAGACACTCGAAGTTGGGTGGTTTCCAAGAGTGTATGCTAGGACCAAACTTCCTGCTTCTAAACCGGAACATTGCAGCTGGGTGAAGCTTGTGTCTTGCTCGAAGTTCATCGTTCTCAATTGCTTTTGCTGAGCCCGAAAGCCTTTACGATGTAGGCTCCAATTTAGAGACGCTTCAGATCAAGAGCCTTTAACGGACCAGGATCATGGCCCACATGCCCAAAAAAATGACGGTGCTTGGCCTTGCGACCTGCTTTCGGAACCTGGAGGACCACAGAAGGGGGTTGTCCGAGGCTTTGGGTTGGGTTTGCGGTGTAGGCGCACGGCACGAAGACTTTTTCCTGGATCCAACACAAAGCTTGTCTTAACATGTGTAACAGTACCCCAGCTCTGGTGCTCAGCGGAATGCACTGGAAAGCCCTAAAAGCTTCAGATCAATTTCTAGAAGTTTTGGTCAGGAGGCGCGAGGTAGAAACGGATTGAGTTCCAACGGTTCAACATTGGTCTTGGTCAGGAAAGTCCGGCAGAAACCTTGAGAGGTCCCAGCTTGCCCAAAAGTTCCGACATTCAGCAAGCCAGAACGGCTCGGCTCTGGTAGGTCGCGGTAGAGGAAAAAAGTTCGGAACATGGCCTGGGAGGGCCAAAAGCTGCACAAAGTGAAGTGATCGCTTATACTGTTTTTGTTTTGAGAAGGTGCACAATGCAGACGGTACTAGCCCTACATAGTTAGTCAGTCTGCGAAGTAATGATAGCACTAGTAGTCGCGTCCTGTTGTATACTCAGCCTATTGGGTGCCCATGGGGCCCATGCTACACCCAGCATTCCCGCTTTGAGCCTAGCAAGATGTTTAAATGCTATACGCACTGTCCTTTCCGGTGAAGAAAACATACGAGATCCAAGCAGCAGCGCAGTTGCTGCAAATGCAACCTTCTCAACCTTTCGCCTTCAGTGCTGCCCCTTAAAATCAAAATCCGACCTAGAAGTCTGCGGCATGTTCTGCCAGGCCATGAGAGTTCTCATCGATGCGAATGCGGACGTCAACGGTCGCGACGAACGTGGAGACGGTCGCCCTCAAGCTTTCGCGTTTTGAGCTGTCTGGACAGAATCCTTTCTGCGGGGCTAACATATAACCTCTACGAACTCTGAAGGCAACAGTCCTCAGGTCAATTTGGCTTGCAGGAGGAGTACAGCCCTCATGACTTAAGAGGTCATTTCGCGATGGTTCAATAAGGAATTTTGAAGATTTTGCAAATCAGGGACGACAATGATGTGTGCAAGGTGGCAGTTGAGTTCCGTTGGTTGGCCCTAAATTCCAAGCTAATGTTCGTCAAACTCAACATCCGTCCAGAGATCTTGCCAGCGCCCGCAGCGTATCTGCTCAACTTACTACAAGTCTCCAGCGCTACACCATATCACCAAAAGTGCACGCGACTGCATCGAAAAGAGTGAGTCCGCACTCCTGCCCGTCTGTCAACATTCTGGCGGAGGTGCGCTTCACTGGGCCTGCGTTTCGGACAATCACCAGGGCGCCCGACTGCTGCTTGAGGCAGAAAAGGGTTAAGTGCTTTCATTTCCTTTGAGGCATGCCGTGATCCTACTTTGTAAGTTCAAGGTTTGGGATTAGGTTGGCAATTAGCGTGAACACGTTTTTTGTTGTTTCCAGCCTGTCTAACAGCCGGTTTAGCAGATCAACCATGGCATTTGTAGTTATGCATCACGAGAACGGCCGACGCAAACTTTCCAGATGCTACAAAAAAAACACTTGCAAAGAAGAAACAACAACTGCCAAAATAAAACTCAAACCCTCCAGATGCCGACTGGATCTTGTTCTGCGGGTGTGTTGCACACACAGCAATGCGGCTCTCAGACTTCTTCTCTTCAGCTTGCTCAGGCCTTGATACGCTGATGCGTATATTGCACGACTTTTTGAGGAGTGTTAGCATTTTTCAATAGAGTCGAGTTGCTTCTCTCCGTTTGAAATGTCTTCTCTTGTTTTGTTACTGCAATTTTCAAGGGCATTGTCGTGGAAGAAGGCGGGCGCAGATCCCTTCATGCTGGCGGGACCGGGGGCCTCGCCATTCGCTACAGCATGCTGCTTGACGCAAATGGCAATGATTATTGCACGTTATCATTTGAGCTATACTACTATACTTCATACCTTGTACTTGCTTCTTCGATTGTCTTGTCTTTTGATGAAAGCCTCCGTTCGTTTATGAAGCCTCGATCAAAGCCAGGCTCGACAGGTTCGGTGAGCACCGCGAAGGTTCCAACAGGGCTCAGCCATTCCATGCAGGGATTCAGAAATACAGCCACATACTTATCGTAGTTCTTTTGGGGGCAGGAAAGGTGAAAAGATCCACGCAGTTCCTGTAGACTTGATGTGATGGGTGCCTGGAGGAAGATTTTTCAGTAACACGAGACCCTATTGCAGCTCAGTGGTCAAGGTTCCTGGACCCCCTGAGTTCTTTCTCCTTTGTTTTCCCTGATCAGGAGATGCTGCAAGTTCCCGGCGTCCACCTAAAAGATTGCTTCTTTTGGTGCCTGATGTTCCATGGAGGCCTCCGAACTTCTGGAGCTGAAATTGATAGAAGACAGTTCTGCAACTTATTCTGCAGCGCTTTACTGAACTTACAGTCGAATTTTCGTAGGCTTCTTGATCACCGTATGCCCCGACGCTCGAAGCTGGATGCCAATCAGATAGAGCACCACGGGGCCAGTGGCACAAAACATGACAAGAGCAGCGCAACCGAAACTGAAGGATGTAAAGAGTTCCAAGCCGCAAAATCCAGCTGAAGTGTGGTGCAGTGTTGGGAGGCTCCTTGGACATGATCTCAATGTTGCTTGATGCCAAAGCAGCCGCCTGCCGAGACATGGGTGTTCCTGTCGGTTCAGCGTGTTTGGGCTTACGGTTTACCATGCAAGCAGGGACTTCCACGAAGGCTCTCATGAGCTTCTCGCATTGAGCTTTTGCAGAATTCACATTCTTGGGTCTATCCCTTCTTCTACAGAACTAGCACTTCGAACCTGTTTGTGAGACTTTGCCAGAGGATGTGAACGAGCAGTACTACACCACCCTGGACAACCCGGCCATGTCTCAGAGTCTGTTCAGTATTTTTGTCCAGTCTTTTGTGTTGTGAGTTCTGAACAAGTTCGAGCATACATGAATGAACAAACTTGGTCGTCTTATCGTCATGGGATGGTCTTAAACTCGGTCTTTTGTTTGGATCATTTGAGAAATTATTCAGAGATGATCCTTGCCTGGCCATCCCCAACTCCTTCTGTCACCCTACCATTTAGGTGGGCAGTGATGAAGATGTACGGCGTGAAGCATCTCCTCAGTCCTTCACGCCTGACTTACGTGGCCTACAACCACCAGGGCGCTACGCCTCTGATGCTTCTTGAATGATCTTGGACTTGTGATGCAGCTGTGTGGTCAGTGATCTGTAAGACTCAGTGTAGACTGCATGGGGGCTCGTTTGGCCGACGGTTGCTCACCTCGAGGCCTTTACCTTGTTGTGCCAAACTTCAACGCAACATGTTTTGTTAAACTCTGGGAGCTGAAGGGATTCTTAAGCCTATCTTCCTGTTAGGCCTAATCCTCTCTAGCCGAGGTTCAGCATCATGAACGGCCACTTTGAGGCAGGGGATCTGTTTCTGTCCTGCAAGCAACAAAAATGCCGTTATGCTACAGAGCTATACGCCCTTGATGTATAAGCACCTGCTGTTTCATGCATGCATGTAGCCGACTCCACATAGTGTGCCTACATTGGGGTACAGGCATCGAGGTTTGAGGTAAGAGCTGTTTGAGAGTGGGTGAATGTTGTGCGTGTGGTGTGAGGCTTCTTGCGCGCTTGTGAAATGGGGCGCAGATCTGGAGCTTTGCAACGGAAGGGGCAAAACTGCAGCAGATTTGGCGAAGGAGATCTTGGCACCCGCAGCCTTGGATAGATTTTCAGAGGTGTTCAAATTCCAAGTACAAGGGGTCAGTGGGATGCTTCAAAAATTCTGAGAGTTCGAAAGCTATTCTGACAGGGTTCTCCCGCGAAGCCCCTGAATCCGACTCCAAATCGGGGCACCGTCTTGCAAATCGGATTCCCAATCCAAGCAAGGATTCCGAATCTAGGCCCCAGGAAATTCACTCCCGGGGAATCAGGGACATACATGGTTGATGTCTTGGGAGGATATTGACCGCCTTAAATGTGTAGTTCCCAAGATCCTAAGCCTATCCCCAAGAGCTTCCGAGAACCTTCAAGGCCCCAAGATTGCCAGGTCTGTGGAGAAACCAGAAACCGATCCCCAGCGCTCCGAACACCCCAATCGTTCGCTTGCCAGGGCCGGGCGAAACCTGACCCCAAGACCCTCCGCGACTCACCCACGACCCAGCAGAAGAACCCTCACAAGTCTCTGGGTCCTCGGACATCCTCGGATTCGGAATCCTTAACGATGTTGTCTTTCGCATCAGTTTCAAAAGCGTGCACATCCTCGAACCTTAATGATTTCCTCTCTGCGCACATCAGTGTTGTCATTGCACCCGTCCCAAAACTTAACAACAGCCTCCCCCTGAACTACGTCCATGTGCTACTGCATCTGTTCGAGCATCCATGCCCAAACCGCAATATTGTCCATGCTGGAAAGCCCAATCCGGAAAAAAAATCCAGGCATGACAGGGGCGTGTTGCGAAAGGTCCGAATTCCGCGACCCAGTCCCCAGGATCCTCTAAGACTCCTCCACCCCCGAGTTTCTCTGACTATTCCACTTTCCACGACGTTTCCCGAGACAGGGGAGACCCCCTGAGACCACTCAAGTTTGTGGGTCGGTGCACGTTGTGGTGCCCAAGGAGGGTCTTGGTGTGTCTTTGGGCGTTGTATTCTGTGGGTCCGGGAAGGTGCTGACGGGTAGAAATCTTCAGAATCCAAATCGGAATCGAATGGTGCTGGATCCGTTTATATAATGTTACGGTCGAGAAGAGCCCAAGTCCAAGAACCTCACAAAGAGTTGCCAGCAGGACTTCGAGTATTGGCAGATGCCGGGTTGTGACACATCTGTGAATAGACTTGTAAAGACGATGAATTTTGAGAGCATGAAGGCCATCTTCAATACTGGCGTTCTGGCCATGATCCTGGTCAACATGAGCCGGATTCTGAATCCGAATCCCCGAATTCGAATCCACATCTGAAAATCCCAAATGCCTTAAACATCCTTAAACCACTCTGTCAGGATACCTCTGGAAAACTCGGTAGTCATGGATGTAATGCACCGGTTCGATCGATACTGATATATTGCCACTAGTAGTCGATAAAGTATTGCTAGGTATTGCTTCGGTTTCGGTTCGATGGCACCCCCCCGCCCTCCACCCCTCCAGCCCTCCAAACCTCCTCCTCTGAGCTCTCCAGAGCGTTCCAGCCCTCCAGCCCATCCCTGCAGCCCTCCAGACCCAGCCCTCCAGCCCTCAGACTTCCCCTTGCTGGCATGGCATGATGCAAGTTAGCGCGTTTGCAATATCAAATTCCCGGTAGCTGCTGCAGCTGTTGCAACGGTGTTTGAACACCATTAAGGCAGACCTGATCGAGACACTCGAGGGCCCGAGCATGCACGGCAAAGAGGATCCCATCGATCCCATCAGGACCTCTTTTTTTCAGACATAAGGGTTCCTTATGGTTTCTTCTGGTTTTGGTTTTGGCTTGCGGCTTTCGGAAAAGTATGAAGGTTTAGTCGTTTAGGCATCATAAGATCAAAGCTCTTTTGTCAGTCATTGTCAGAGGTGCGCTTACAAAACGGACAACGCGGTCAGAACTGAGTCCTCCGGCGGTCATCCTTTCGAGCGCATGCGCGATTTGCCAGGCTGCGGGTGATGCTCGCGGCCCCGTTGCTCGCCGTTGCTCGCCGTTTTTTCGCCAGCATCATCCACTCGTGCCCTTGCTATTGACATTGCTCATGATGCTCGCCAAAAACGAAGCTCTTCCAAACCTTGCGTTTGTCCTTAGTTGTTGTAGGATATATATGTATATATATATATATACACGCAAACTCATTACCACACGCTCATGATGCTGGTTCGATGCTGGCTTCATAGCCTGGTGCCCGTGGATGACGATGTAAACAACAGCATCGGTCGCGAAGAGAGTGATTTCGTCTGTGCGCCGCGAGCATGTCCGAAGGCAATAGCACTTGCGGTTGTACTCGCTTTGTAGCTTCTTCAATGATCACTTCAATGTAAGATTCACATGACAGGGCAATGATGGTAACCAGCACAGCGCGCAGGTGCAACGGCCTAAAGCTGCAGCAGCCGAGCATGACAGCACCGTGCGTCAGGAATGGTCTCTCACATGTAGGTGTATGGCGGACGCGGACTGGCAACGGCGGCAGCTCCAACAATCTTGCATGAGGGAGCCCCGGTATGCCATATAGCACACAACCAGATCTCGTGACTCGAAGCTCGGGCAGGTGCGGATCTAGACTAAGTGACTAGATTAGATACTGTCCAGGAATGTCCGCAGCTACCAGAGAAAAGCAGAGAGCGTGCGGACGCCGTCCAATCTGGATGAGCCAGCGCAGTCACGAGCACACGCGCAGTTCTGCTCTGACAGACTTGCGCTCTGCCAAAATCTGGGTTGTGTGCGTAATTCTTCTGCTGCAATCAACACGACGTGAAAACCTGGCGCACAAACTGAGGGCCGTCAGGGAGTGTGAACCGAGCGAAAACATGAAACTGTTCAGAAGGACGCACTTCGGACCTAATCATCCAACACGCAAGCCTCTTCACAAGAGCGAAGGCCGTGCGGCAATCTGTGTACCTGCAAACGAATTTCGATTAAGAGCGCAAAAGACAGCCAGACTGTTGGAGGCAGTCCATGTCGGTCCGGCAGACCGCGAGGCCGCTGCAGAGTCTGCCGAGCGGGCGGATACGATGACGCATCAGAAAGTGGAACCGATTTTTACACAGCCCGGACAAGAACCACGATGAGACAGCTCATGTAAAACGGAAGAATCCTAGCGTGGAAGTGGATGCACGGATTTGTTTGTACTCCTCACAGATGACTGGTGAGTTGTCTTGGACTGGTTGTTTATTTGGCTTCGTTGCTTGATGCGAGGAATGATGATCCAGATGCAATGGTGTCAACCTTCATGTGACGTGCCTGCTTTCTTCAGAGCATGCTGCAACTGTTGTAGAAGCAACAGGTACACAGGTACAAGGCAACACAGGTCTGCTCACCCTTAGCTGCCCTTTGTCCATGTCACGCAATTGTGACAGACGGAACAATGGTAGAGCCTTTGGCTTTACAACTTCTACTGAAGAGAGAACCCAGCAAGATTTTTCCCTGTCGAATGTTTTTACGCCTGGTCAGCACCTGCAGCTTTTTTAGAGGAGCATGGTAGGTTAATGTATAATGTTTCCACTGGGATGCTCTGCATTTGCAGCGGTTATTGCAGATGCGGCCAGCCGTTGAGTCAAGTTGAGTCCAGGTGAATCCTGGCCAATCCTGCCATACAGCTGCAAAGCAGCGTGCTGGCTGTTGAAATGGCTTGGCCATATCCTTCCATTAATCTGCAAAAGCAAAGTGCTGGCTGTGATCAGTAGTCGTAGCAAGGCAAGATAGCTTGCACATGCTTGCACGATCTGCCAAGCAGTGTGCTGGCTGTGACGAACGATCACCCGAAGGCCGATGGCGTCTTGGCCATCAATCTCAGGGCACGCTTCAAAATGTTCTGCATGCATACATACATTTGGTTTTGGGCTTTCCAAGTTTCGGGAGCAATCTCCAGAATCCAGCATCAAGACTTCAGTATCGCTTTAGATCTACTAGCAAAGACCCCAAACAGATTGAACATGCACAGAGCTCAGGCGTGCAAGTTGGGGGGCCAATTGAACTACAGCGCGGGGGAGACGGGGGATGGTGTCTCACATGCTTAGCTGACGCAAGTTTTTTCCGAGCAAGTTTTTTGGCAACTTACGGATGTTGTAGGGATGACCTCCTGTTTAAAGACAGCACACGGGAACGTGTATTGCAGCCTTTGAGCATCGTGATTTACCAAGCACGCACTTTCTGGGCTGGCATGAATTTACAGCATCACTTGCTCATACTCAGAGGAGCTGGATTTTGCTCTGCTGATCATGGATACAGATGAGAAGAAATAGCACACATTTTTTGCTTGTTCCACAAAGCAATAAAAGCATCGTTTGTCTTGTTCAATTCGTGTGACAGCTACGGCTGACAATCGCTTGCTTTTCTGGATTCAATATGTGTCTACGGTTTAGGGTTTAGGGGTGTAGTTAGGGTTTAGGCTTCTCTCATCACTATACGGATTTGGTATCACCTTGGTTCTCTGACCAGGCCTTGGTCGTTCCAGCTCAGGATCTGGTTCAAAGTGTTGGAACATACTGCCAGTATATGGGATACTGAGCGCTTGAGCTGGGCGTGAAGGGCGGTTAACGTTAATATTCTGCAGCTTTACATGCCGGATGTTTGTAGATGTCGGTCTTGTGTAAGCTCAGTGATGCCTTTCACGGGTTATTGCGGCTCCGCGTGTGGTAGTAGCTTCGGAAGTGGTGCTTCATGATCCACAAAGTGAGGGACTGCTCACAGGCAGCAGCAATTACTCAGACCCCCTGCAGCAGCTTCAAGCACAAGACCCAGCACTAAGCGCAACCAAGTCCAGCACACTTTGAATGCAGCGACTTCAAGAAGCTCACGGCGCAACAAGCCATTGTGAACCCTGCAAGCCTACATCCAGCATGGTTGTGCCTCAGCGCGTCGCGCACGGCGCTGAGCAGCCAACAAAGACTTGAATTTGGTGCTGCTCAGTCAGACCAGTTCGGAAAATCAGGGCCGCAGGTAGCGCTGAATCAAGGTTTTGTTTTCGTAGATCCACCGACAGGAAAGGCATAAAGCTGCGTAGTAGTCAGATAGAGCTTCGGGGAACTGAGGAGGGATCAGGATCTTGATATCGCGAAAACAAGGAAGGCACCCAGAAAGCCCACATGACCTAGTCACGAGTCGTCATGAGGGAACAACCGAAGCGATTCATGTTTCTGAGGTTGCCTGCTGCAGGGCCCTCCGTGGTAAGTGTGAGCTTGGAACCCAGCCTTTGTCAAAGGTGCAGTGCAAGATGTGCAAGCATGACTCGTTTTGCTACTCGTACACCGTCTTTTCTGCAACCATTTGCGCTTTTTTTTTGGCGCTTGTCGTCTGATGTTTAAATACAGAAAGAACTCCCGGGATGGCTTCCGACAGGTTTTTTGGATGCATGATGCTCGCGGAAGCTCTTGGGTCCCGGATGAGCGTTTCAGCAAGTTAGAACCAACGTAAGACTAGAAACGCTGTTCGCGGAAGCATCGCAGAAACACCTGCCAAGAAAATCATTGCGCAAGCGTCCGTGGAAGCAAGGTGTTCTGAGGTGCCGACCAAGAGGAAACTAGTCTTCGCGGAAGCTCGCGGGCCCGAAAGGGTGTTATCCGTATTTGCCAGTTCTCTTATTGGTAGCGTCATGTCCCATGAGGGTGGTATTGGTGTTTGAGGGAGTGGTATTGGTCTTTGAGGCCATGGTCCCTTATGCTACAAGCAGGGGACTCAGCGCATGTTTCTGCTTCACTTGCATGCCAGCCGTCTGTAGCCGGAACGATTCGTGGCTGGTGTCCCTGAAGCGCGGGCCTGCACTAATCCTTCAACCCAGACATTGACCCAAACATCGGAGCTTGAATCCAGAATTCCTGCAGCCTAGCTCTCAGTCTTCGCTCTTAAACATGCAAAGCTGAGCACCAAAACCTGATGTAAAGGAGAAGGATGTAAACGAGGCCCGGGAACCCTCAACCCTAAGCTAACACCTTCAACCCATAAACCCTTAAGCTTCAACCTTTAATCCTCAGAACCCAAAGCTTTGGGCCAGAGGCGTCCAATCTACTTGAGATCGAGCACGCCTCCGCGCATCACCAAAATCCGGGTGCTCGGATTTAAGATTTCAGATTTCTGGAGTAGGTTTTAGGATTTGGTGGGTTTAGATTTGTTTTCGGTTTTGGATTTAGGGAACGGGAGTCGGATCTAGGCCACAAGAGGCAATTGCTACTGTGATTCGGTTAGGGTTTTCATACCAAGTTATTAACTTGCGACCAAAAAGCATGACATGATGTTCAGACCAACAGGTTTCGCATGCCTTGCGGATGGGGGCATGGAGTTTGCCTGGAGTTTCGTTGATCCGCGCACGCGAAGATGTAGGCAGGTGTGCAGGCGTTCTGTCTTGTGCATTGGCACAACATTTTAGATGCAGGATTCTCCTACCCCTCCCCTTGGCAAGCGGCAATCTCAAAATGCACATGGCACTGTGCTGGTGCGGGACTTGACTTAATTGTAGTGGGAGGGAGTTAAGAATAGCAAGAATCTCTAAACCCAGACCGGAGCCATTCACGCTTCCCCCTCGAAAGTGTGGGACCCTTGGGCTTTATTAGGGCCAGGGTGCATCCGAACTTATTGAAGAAGCAACGAGAGGTCCAGTGGTCTCGATTTGCCTCGCGGTGTGATGGTTTGTGGTGCAGTTTACCCAAGTAATTGCACTTGCTCCCTTACGCAGGGTTTCCATGAGCCCCTAAACCCTAAACACACCCTTCTGCAGATTCTTTTGCGGGGGCCTGAGAACCTCAGGTGGTGCTTCCGTCTTCTTCCTCTGCACCCGCTCGTGCCCCAGCTGCGGCAGACGTCGCACAAAAGACTTGCAAAGGATTTCGGAGCTTGTATACACTTACTTCAGGTATTCCTGATCCTTGCAGCGACGCAGAACAGAACCTCAACAATTTCCCTACAGCCCCTCCGTATCCTGGGGTGCCTCAACGCAATTTAAGTTGAGACGGGCAGCACTAAATTCACTAAATCCGAAGCCAAGCCGGCCTCCTTGACCCAGATCACGACGAACCTCAGCGGGCCATTTGTCACGCCGCGCCGAGCTTGGCCCCCAGCCAAAGCATCGTCATGTTCCTTAAAAAATTGAGGTTCGCGGGGATCCCTTCATGGTTTATTCTTAGGCCTCTGACTCCGAGGCCCGAAACATCGCCAAGGCTCCCATCACTGCGGCACCTTCCCCAGCTTCAACTGCAGAGCCTCTTTGTGGGGGCCCGTATAATGGGAATTGCACATTATGGGGAGGGGGTAAATAGGGAACCTGAAGCACTGGAAACTACTAAGTCGGCTGTAGTGTTTGAGCATTCATCACGCAACAAGGTTGCTTCTTAGGCTTTGTCAAGTCGCAGCTGGCTTGGACCTATAATCTTGGCTGGAGAAGCCCTCAACTTGTGAGCCTGAAGCTATCAAACAACTCTAAACCTGAAGGCCGAAGCACTCAAGCCTTTAGCCTAAACTCCTGGCCTAAACCCTACACCCACAACCTCCTTCCCTCGTCCGACCCCAGAACCTTAAGGTCTAAACCTCACGTTCCCAATCCACTGAAAGTTCTCTCTGACAAGGCAACCAGCACATGCCCAGAGACGCCCCCAAAGGCCAGGAGGCTTTAGAGAAGCCATAGAAATGGAGCAGTCAAAATTGGATTTGGCTGAGTGATGCTGAGTGTTTTTGCCTGAACACGGGATGGATCCTTGTCGGGTACCTGTAGCGCTCTGGCATTCTGAAAGGGGGCCCATCTCAGTGAACAGCCACAGTACTGATGGCAGCGGTGGTCTGGATAGCACGTGAATCAGGTGCATCAACGGCAGGTGTCATGTCTCTGTCAGCTTTTTTCATGCCAGTATGAACTAGAGTCAGAAGAGCCACTACGCAGTGGAACAAGGCGGTAAAGATGATGCGGGGTTAATTTGGAGCAGACATAGCCTTGGCGCGAGGTTGCCCAGCTGAGCTACAGATCGACCTCAGAAGAGCTCATTGGATGCAACAGTTTTTGATAGCAGGATGATAGCAACAAGTAAAGTGAGTCACCAATGATGATGGCAGCGCAGAGGGCAGAATTCGTATGCAGCCAGATCTAACCCCAAACCTTGCTGCTTTGGCTTCGGCATTCTGAAGTTTTGGGCTAGCGTAATAGGGAAATGCTCGAATCACATAGCTGTGGTGCCTACACTGCTGGCACCGCAAATCCAAAGCCCCCAAACCATGCACTTGAGGCCCCTGCCGACCTTACTGAAACCAGTCGGT